AAAGTTTCAGTTGAATAAGTCTTCTTTAAAATTAATATGTAACTGATATAGGGTTTTCAAATCAGTTATTTGAGAACGGCGAAACGTAAGAAAAATATTTTTCGCTATTTTGTTCATATTGGTCGTCTATTGAAACGATATCTTGAGAACTACATTGCGATAAAATTCAATTATTCGATTCGCTTTCAGCTTTTTTGGTTATTATTACCTTTTTTTTTTCTTTCCTTTGTCATAATAAACGGTGAGTTAGTTCCACAATTTAGGCAATAGCGTGTTCGTTTTGCTTTCACAGAGAGCTGTGAAGGGCAAAAAGAGATGTACGGAATACTCGAGATGAGACTTGAACTTACAACCTTTGGTATATCAGACCAATACACTAACCAATTGTGCTACTCGAGCTACATTTGATTCAATCATCAACGGTTTCTCACTAATGTCAACTCTTGACCACATAATATTACTGAACAATACCTCATGTGCAAGTCATGATCAATAAAATTAATCTCAATTTCATGTAGCATTCGTAAGAGTTAATGGCTGAACTGTTCATTCGTTTCTTGGGTAAGGGTGTGCACCAGGGTATCTTGTTTATCTACATTATACCAGATCCACACACGCGGCGCCACTGATAGCTAACTTCATCTAACACTGTTAGTTCATTGACGCTCCAAACAAATCTTGGAGAAATTAATGATGATACTAAATCAAGCGTAACAACTGATTTTAAACAACTTTTTTTTATGCGAAACATCATGGACAAAAAAGGATGTCAATTCATCTGATCTTACGCCACACACGGGAGCCATAAGTTTGTATTTCTTTGTGTGTGAGACATCACAGAATCAATAATTCAAGGTGATTCTTATCTTTACTCTGCTGCAAGACTGAGTTCTTTTTTGAAATTCACATACAAAAATGCCTTTCCGAGTTGACATTTTTCGAGAAGTTTTATTTGTAAGCGAAAAAAAATATGTTATCAATTAGAAACTGACTTTTTATTTCGAAATCTCTATTTTCTGATCTCTGATTTTTGACAAAAATAGTGTGCAATACATGTGAGAAAAATAGAAATCAAAGATTTAATACTTGTATGCATAATTGAAAATCCTCACCCGCAATACATAAACAAGAGATCGAGAGTGTGAGTGTTGGTTTACATGTAACCATTGTATTTGCCCACGTCCACACCCTTAAAGATAATCGAAATATTCAATGAATAGTTATTATTATTGACACTAGATGAATTTACCCCATTTACTTTTCATTTTCATCATTGTTTTAATAATATCTATTGATTAAAAAAAAAACTAGAGAAGAGAAAACATTATTATTTAATTTAACTGACTTTTCATATTATAATCTTTCTATAAACTTATTTCATAACACATATTGATTATAATGTATTTAACAACAATCATTGCCTTTTATGGTAATACTAATAATCAAGTACCAGTATTTGTTATTCATTATTTAGCAATTTTGTCGGTTATGTGCGGTTCGATTGATTATTGTATGTGAAATATTTTCATCGCTAATTAAAAGTATACTTGTTACTTTACTTTGTTCCATTCGTATATGGATAGACGAATGCGATGTATTTTCATTTTCGATTATCTATTTAATTAGCTCATTTTTTTTTGTATTGTTACATCATCGATTTTCATTAGTACACTTTTTACTATTGTTTTATAGCATCATTTTCATATTCATTCTACTTTACATCAGTTAACAATTGAGATATTATGAGAATCTTTTTTTTATGTTTATCATAAATTTATTTTTTGAACAAACCTTTCTTATCATAAAATATAAAACATTGTCAATAAGAAATACAATACTCTTATCGATTAATTTACTCCATCCATTATTTGCGTTACGAAAGAAAAGAAAGAAAAATGCACTCGACCATACCATGCAAGCATGATATTTTTTTATTAAAGAATTTGAAATGTATTTATTTGTCTGAAGGTTTAATGTGTCAATGATCTCAAAAGTTACTTTCCTTATACAAATTATATCTGTAACTGATAATCAAGTTGGTCAATGACGATTTGAACAATGTCATTATTTGCATGATTTACTTGTAAATATTTTACTTAATCGAAAAAAGTATATATAAAAGAATTGTCTAAATTATTTTCTCAACATAAAATTGTTCTTCGATCAGGATTTTCACAAACAGCTTAATGGGGTGTAGAACCAAATATGTTTATTGAAGTGAGTAAAATTTTATTCTATATCATAAGCTTTAGTTTTCAATAATGAAATAACATTAAAGATTTTTGTTTCAAATATCTTGAAAGAAACTAATCAGCAGAATTTTTTTTGAGGCTAATGTATGAAATTCACATGATTTCATTATAATAATACAAAATATGTAAAATAAAAACTCTCTAGTAGACTTGATTTATCTGAATTGACTATTATTATTCTAATCATTGATTTAATTAATAAAGGAAGCTGTTTCATTCATTCATTATTTAATATAATACGTCTCAACGCTCTATTATATAGCTTGGATAAACTTTGAAATACAAAATTTATTTCAACTACTTGAATTTTTAAGAAGTAGTATCACGCAGCACCTTTCTTTGTTGCTAAAGAAGTATGTGAAAGAAGTTTAGTACCTATAACTGCTTTCAACTGTTAGAAAAAGATTCGTACTCAATGAGTATTGTCATCAGCCACTAAGGCCTGTAAGAAAATCTTCACTCACTATTATCTTTTGAATAATATATATATATACGATACTAATTTCGTATTTTGTATGTAATGGTATCATATTTTCTTGTTCAATTGATATTTGAGAGCTGTTTCAAATATTATCATGTCTTTGTTTGCATATATCGCAACAAGTCTTGAATTTTTCGAAATCATTCTGATTCGTCTTTAGTTTTTAATGACTACATCTGTATCGTTTTATTTTCGATACTTTCTTTAAAGAATTTACAAAAAAAAAAACTCAGAAAATTAGATTTATTTAATAACACTAGAATGAAGCACAGTGATTTAAAAAAAAGAACTATACTTCGAAGATTATATTTGATTCGTTTAATGAACATATATTATATTATTAAAAGTGAGAAACCAAAAGGTTTTAATATTATTTTTTGAATAGTTTGATCACATATTCATTAAAGTTTTATTCAATATATTTCCGATAAAATGTCTATATTTAAAGAATTCAGAATTTAAATAGTATCTATGTAACTCTTCTTCGTAGAACTGTTGAACGAATTGTACTTTGTATAAATTTAATAAAAAATGTTCCATCATAATGCAGTATGTTATTGTTTCTGGTAATGAACAAACTTTGACAATATACCAAATACTTGATCCTGACTCATTTCTGATTTTTTAGTACTTAAGTGCGTTAATCTTCATTTTCTTGCTAACAAATAAAGGTTTGCATGTCTAAAATGTGTTACGAAGAGAATATTCCAGTTCTCGGTAATCTTCAGAAACTGTGAAGCTTCCATTGTTCGAAATGATCTCAGCAAGAATCTTTTTGTCCACTAATAACTACAGTCGTAAAATTTTGAAGGAAACCTTGATAAGAGCATGATAATAGAGAAAATTTTGAGGCAAGCAGTTAATATTAGTCGTATTATGGGTTACTTTTCGATGATTTCCATCAACTCTCATGTGGATATTATCTAAAGAATATTTCGTGAATCAGGCAAACTAAAACTGTTTGGCATGACATTTGGTAATAGAGGTAGTACTGAGCTGTCGAATGAAGAATCTAATGTTATGAGATTTATTTCTATGTTGATATATTCTTTTCTGAAAAAAATAATCTATGTTGATCTTCTAGCTGCCATGTATGAAGATTAATCAAGACCTGATTAGTTCTCGTGATTAGAATTGAAGATGCTCTATTTTTGATTAAATGATGAGACTAAACGGTTAAATTTTAGTTACTTCTTATCTGTTAGTAGAACTTTTTAAGATTACCATATTGTAATTAATATTGATAGTACATATGAATGAATAAAATGTTACAAAAGCCTTTTTGTTTTGAATTAAAGTTAACTTCAATCATATCTTATATTTCATTGATGATTTTTTTTTTCTATATTTCAAAGATTCATGGTGACGAACATCAAGCATGTATGATTAGTAAACTTTTTGGTAAAGAATTTTATCATGATGGTATAGGTAGCGGTGGAATTGACGGACAAAATAAAACTATATTAATTGTTAATAAAGACTAGAGTAATAAAGATGAACAGTTAATATGAAAATTTATTAATGCTGCTTGAATCATTACATATGCGTCATATGTTTAATATGTTACGACACGCCCATACTCATCTTTTCTTTGGATATGCATGTGTTTCATTATCATAACTATCAATATCAATAAAACATCGAGAAAAACAAGATGAATATGAGATAAAAATTAAATTTTTTTATTTTTATCTTCTCATTTATATTCATTAGTTATCTCTCACAAACTATGTATATGTCTTACAAATATCAATTGCTTTTGTAAGTATACGCTTTCTTTGCTATACATATGTCTTTGTTTTTTATTTGATTTTTTTTCTATTTCTCTTACTCTTGTCACTTGAATAGTTGTAAGTGAAGTCAAGCGTGGTTTATGACTCGCATCTTGCTTATATGCAGTCATAAGGATTTTTCTATCTTTATCTATATGTTTATATATATATACATACATATTAGTCATGCTTCATTAAAATTCCCATTGTTGTCATACATATATCTGGGATTTTTATCTTTACTTCTGTTGATCTTTTTTTCATATTATTCAATGAATTTTCCCAATGTTATCACCCTATATATATCGTCATTATATTATTCATCAGAGGTAAGACATACATAGTGTTATTGAAATACGTTCGAAGTGAAAATTAAGATTTCACAAGGGTTACAAAATAAAGATGACTACGATAGTAATATATTTGTTTCTAACTGTATGTGTTATAATAACTTATATTATTCCTATGGTTGAATTTTTCATTGGATTTAAATATATGGCTCAAAATGGAAATAATTCTAAGCAAACATGTCAAGTAGCACCTGATTTACCATCACTTATGGTTATTTGTGGTATATTTGCAGTTTTTTTTTTAAGTGCAGCATATGGTTTTTTAAACATGAATTCTTCAATAAGAAAATATCAAAGTGATGTATCTGAAACAACGTCGAAAATTCTTATTGGTAAGTATTTTTATTTTTATTTTTAATAAACAAAATAAATATGAATTTGAAATACTATTAAGGTTTTATTAGTTTTATTTTTGGTGCACTTACAATTATTTTCTTTACTATCAAACAAATTCGAGTTTATGTATCCTATTCAAAAGGTGTTGAATTTAATAATAAATCAGTATACAATTATTGTGAACCGACAATTATGCGTGCTGCTTTAGCTATGATTATTCTTACATATATCAATATGCTTGTATTTATTGGCATTTTTGTATTTATTATTGTTCATACACGAAATAAACTACATGAAGGAAAAGAAGCAGATATTGAAAATGTGGTTGATAATATGAGTTATAGATTTTACGAAGTAACACAGCGAAAATAATTTAAAAAAAAAATTTTTAATCATATAAAATAAAATATTATATGAAGTTATAAAAAAAACTCGAAGAGTGCTTTATCAAATGATATATTTCAATAGAGTATTCATAGATTCATTTAAAGAAAATCTATGATGTTTTTCATTTCAAATCAAAAACTGTCATAAAACAATTCTTTGATGGCCATTGATTTAAGCAAGAATGTTTATTTCATTGTAATTTGCTCTCAGAACAGAACTTCTAAGTTGATTATGTCAATTACAAAATTCAAAACCTTCATAAAAAGTATTTGATTACTTTCAAATTTGGTATGTAATTAAAAAGTAGCACTTTTGTAAAAATTCGAAAAAATACATCTAATTTTAATAGATCTTTTCTGTTTCAAAACAATAATTAAAATATTACTATTTTAATTAAATTATTCAATTTTTAACTATTTTTAAATTACAATACAGATGATAAACTTTTTTCTGAACTTCTTACTACGACAAATGGGAAATGTAACATTAGATCAATCTTTGATAGATATGATGTTTTGAAAATACGATATTAATTGATAGTTCAACGTATAAACTAAAATGTCAAAAAAAAAATTAAATGCTTATCCCATTCCGGTGAAATAAAAAATAATGGCATTCTTTTACGAAAATTCATATCACTCTTTCAAAAGTGATCTTCTAGTTTTGGCTAGAATTTTGCTAACATTCATCGACAGGGTGGCCCAAAAGTAACATGACAAATAATTTTTTCGATTTTTTTTTTGAACATAGTAAGTTAGATCTCATATTTATACTATATATACTAGGTGACATAATTCAAAGATGCAGCATATGATCAATATCTAGCTGTTGGAACTGATCAAAAACTATATAAATAATACGAAGTTTATCAATGAAATTATGTTAACGAGCTTGTCAATCAATACCTGAGCGATTGCAACTTTGCAAAGATTTAGAGGGTGAACACATTGAGTAATTTTCATGAAAAGCTTCGCTATTAAAAACACTTCACAAATACATATTATTGTGTGTGTCATTTTCTAGTTCTATTGTTTTAATAAACGTTTTGTTAGAACTCAGAGTTTGTTTTCTTACTTTTGGCCGCTCAATATTTGTACGCTTTTCAATAAATTACTTCACTTAAATACTGATCGTATGCTGCATCTTTGAATTATGTCACCTAGTAGTATATGTGGTATAAATATGAGATCTAACTTACTATGTTCAAAAAAAAAAATCGAAAAAATTATTTGTCATTTTACTTTTGAGCCATCCTGTATAAAATCAAGGATTTAAAAAAAAAAATCTTCTGAGACTCAATTTCTCATGCAAAAAAACGTCTCAAAGCCAGACTAAAATCGATTATTTTTGAATGAAAAGTTTGATTGAAATGGTATTATTTTAAATTAATTTTAATCAAGTTTTTCAATATTAAAGATAGATTTCATTGAATTTTAATCTATTTTAATGGTTAAACAAACTTTAATCAATTCAAAATGATTTCTAATCATCAGTTACAATTCATTTTTTTTTAAATAATCGATTAAAATCAAATAAAATCTGTTTGTAAAGCAGAAAAATCTAACTTCTTTTCATTAGTAGACGTTTTCAGCAACTAGTTTTTTACTAGATAAAAATATTTTAACAGAAACAAAGTAAGTTTAATTATAAAACAACTGTCTTTTATTCCAAAAACCAGGTTTTTCTTGCTAAACCTAAAGAAATCCATAGAACTTCCCGAAAAAAAAATTTAGGAAACCCATTACCGTTTATAATGCCTTAGAAATTTTTCTACGGGCCGCCCTCGAATACAAAATGATTTTTTTTATTTTGTCGTTTGTGTTAGACTAAAATCAACTATTTTCTAATACAGTCGCATATAGCCTCGCCTTCAGATTGAAAAGCAACTTTTCATGGAATGCACTTAGTTAAACTTATTTTGCCACGTGCCTAAACTGATTGAGTTTTTTTGAGCAAGAAAGAGTCTTTTGATATGGAAACTTCTTAAAGTATGCACGAGAAAAAAAAATTGATTGGAATTATCAATTAGTGTTAATCCAGTAATAAAGTTAAATCTATTAAAAAATATTTTTTTTTTAATACCAATTTCACTCGATCAAAATGGATTGAGCATCAAATAATTTGATTAAAAAACTATTATTTTCGCCTTCATTCTGTGACGCTCTTTGTTTCGGACTAGTGGAAAGTAATTAATTAGGACCAAAATTCTGTATGCTGAGAAAATTCGTCTTAGTTTTGGTTCAAGAATAGTGAAATCATGTTTCAAAAGCCAATAAAATTACTTTACACGGAATTTATGCATCAAAATTTTCAGTGAACATCGTTGTTTATTTTAGTCTTCTTGAAAGTATATCAAACGAGTCGAAAACAACAGATCGTCACCAGAACTTTGCACTTTCTTTTAAATAAATGTTGTGTTTATCTTTGTGTAAGGAGTAGTGAGGAACTTTTTGAAAGATTTAAAAAATTATTTTTCATATTGAGCCAACAGATTATTATTTTACTTTATAAATGCCTTTTCAAACATGCTAAAAATTGTCGGAGTCGGTCAGTTTAGGGTGTGGATATTGTTCTTTGCTGTATCCACACTAAAGCACACCCGTACCTACTTCAATGATCTTTTATTATAATAGATATTTGCGCATTTTCATTAGTCGATTGTAATAACATGCAAAACTTGTTGTTCTGTTTGATTAGATCATCAAATGTCATTTTTAACTCTTCACCATCACACCATAGGAAATTTAGGTGTTAGATACTTTTGTGATTTTATCTAGCCCAAAACCGTAAATATTCTCTTGTGAAATCGAATAAATTAGTTGCATAGTTTAGTTTGTCTACCTTTTGATAATCCAGTTTACAAAATTCATCTCAATTTATATCAGTTGAATGTTTGTAGATTACATTGACTAGAAGTCGGTGATAAGTTTATATAGTACATCCGATTATACCTTCACTTAAATTGGATGAAAATAATGTTGTTTAACTACTCAAAAACATATTAAAAATCTTCAAGATACAAAAGTATTTTTGAATGTTTTTTCTAATTGTGAAATTACAGAAAAACAAAACAGATGAAAAAACCTTTGTATTTTTTCTCTTTTCATTCAATTCTGAAATGAATGGATTTATTGTGAAGATTTAGTCATCAATCTACAAAAGTATTCAATAAAGCTGAAGTACTACTTTCAATTCAATTGATAAAGAATAATCTAATTGGAGAAGAAATTCTTGGTTATAAATCTTATGAGATAGTGATAAATGATTACTACAACAAATAGTTATAAACTAGAATTAGTCGCACGTTTGACAGAAGCATGATTCCTATTTCCTTTCTCATCAATTTCAATTTATAGACATGTTCGTAGATAATCTTGCTAGTAAACGATAATCAAATGTTATCATTTACATTTTGAATTTATTGAAATGTTACATAAAAACGAAAATTCTATTCATTGGCAAATTGCGAACATTGCAACAGTTAGAAGTTCAAAAACAAGGAACAATTGTAGAGGATTACAGAAAATTTTTAAAGTGAATCCTACTTACTTACGTATAAGGCTTTATACTCAATTAGAAGAGTTCCCTAAACATTTCTATTAATACTCATATCTAATGTTTCTTATTCTCATATAGATTATTAGTTATTTTCTGAGTTCCTCTAAGTTATTTCTCCATACGGCTAAGATATTTTTTTTTTAGTCGATTTTATTTTTCAGTACTGCAATTAATTGTCATAACACCAAGTTGTTCCTATGTTCAATTGTAGTAGAGCCAAATGTTATGTTTGCATAATAAAAATGTCTTTAAGACTCTTATATTGTTATTAAATATGAAATACAAAAGTTTAAAAAATATTTAAATAATTCAAAAGTTTAAGTTTAATTTTCCCAAATAATATTAAATTATTAACTTAAAAAAAAAAAAGTAGAAAACATGAAAAAGCACCAAAAGTATTATGAATTTAATTTCGACAATTCCTTGATAAAACATTGCTCGATTTATTGACATATTCATGTTAAAGCAATGCGATCTAGATTAAATAGTTTTGTATGTAATTAAGATGAGATATATTTACTTTTATATATTAAATAATATTTCGACATGCAATATTATTAAGACACTCATACAATAGGGCAAAATAAATATAGTTTTTATTATCGTTTCTCTAAATATATTTTATTGTTCTCCTATAGATGTAAATATTTATTAAGGTTCAATAAATTGATTAATTAAGCATGACAAAAAAAAACACTATTCGAATACTACAAGTATGTTTTCTATATGGTAAACAAATTATTTGTTAGTATTGTCACTTAATTAATAAGATATATTTTGTGTAACTGGCTATGATGCTTAAACTGCAACACGTTCGAATCGAGCTTGTTCACAATTTTTTGTTTGAATAATTAAATGTTGTTCATCTTCAACTTTCAAACATTGAATATTAGTGATTAAATCACTTACGAACTGTTCTTTTTCCATGTCTTCTTGTGAACCGCCCATCATTGTTGATGCGATGCCAGAAGATTTCCATTCATCATTTTCTGGATTATGTTCCAAACAACAATTAATTGAATTAATTACGGATGCATGAAGACGATACTTATTTTCCTCGTCACTCTCTATTTTAAATTCACAATCGACACATTCTGGATGTGGTGAATAATCAATTATTTTCCATTTACCAACGACACCAGTTGATTCCGATGACATAATCAAATTTTGATTCAAAACTGATCACCTAAAAATCTAGTGAGCAAATAACATGATAGTGCTTTTTTTTCTTGCTCTACAATATATTTTTTTCTCTTTTTTTTTATAAGAGAAAAATATGTACAATTTGTGTCATCACTGATAAAAAGTAAGATAGGAAAAAAAAAGGTAATACATGGTTGTCACATAAATTATTGATTGTATATTTGATTTGTACAGAAGAAATATGAAAAAAAAAGATTAGAACATGTGATTATTTTGAAATGACGTTCTTAATAAGTAACACTAACATAAACACTGATTTCATTAGATACCCTTGAATAATCAAAATAACAAGAAGTAAATCAGTAGCGTTTCAAGGGCAGTTTTATTTTGCACTCTTCAAAATGTAAGACATTGAGTTTAATGAAGCAAAAATTTTGGAAAAAAACAATATTTAACTAAAATTTCTTAACATATCGAGAAAACTTTATTAGATTCGAAATTTCTATTACACTTTGATGATTAAAATATTTTCAACAATCGGTAACATCAATTGAGTGAACCAATAAAGTGAATGTAACAAGAACAGAGGCGAGCTGAAACGGTAAAAAAAAGATTAAAGTTTTAGTAATAAAGAATATAAAGAAATAAAGAAGTTTTATTAAATAATATATTAAAAAGACAGCACAAAGAAATATCCTACTTTTTCCTTTAACAAGCAATAACTTTTGATAAAAAAGACCCGGTGATAATAGAGAAAAGAATCTATATTTTTTTTTCTTCGTATAATCAGCGAGAAATTGAAAGATAGAAGAAAAAAAAATGAAATATTCTTAACTAATAGAATAAGTTACATTCACATGTCTTTTCATTAGAAATTCATCCAATTATCTTACAAGTAAAGTATTATTTTATTCGGTAAATAATTACGCTACATACATATATATACTTTTTTTGAGAACAGTGTGAAACAACGCGTATGTCAAGGGTCACAATTGTTCTGTACATTTTACATCAGCTTGGTAAAACTGTTGTTAGAAAGATTGAAAAAAAAACAAAGAAAAACTGTCATTCATATGCAATTATAAATAGCAAGAAAAAAGAATAAATAGCAAGAGAGACAATTGTTATACGAAAAGATAGTGTTTTGTAACAGTGCAATAAATATTGTACAAAGAATTAAAAAATACTACTTAGAAAGAAACAAAGTAAAAATAAATATTTTGAAGTTTTTGTAGACTATTGAGCATATTTCATATGTTCTTGATCGATGTTGATAGCATTTTTTGAGTGAGCGACGATCATTTTCTCTATTGAAAATACTGAGTTTATTATATTTAATGAACTCTTGAGAAGTTGTAAACCAGATTCTTTTAGGTTCTAAATTAGCTAATCTGAGAAAATACTTTCAATACAGAACGTCGGGTTAAAGACTCTGATTCAATACATAGCTATCATAAACTCAATACTTCTGTTAAAAATTTTCATAAAATTTATTTTCAAATGTAGTCCGAATATATCTTGTACTAAATCAAGAAAATTATTTCTAGAATGATAACATCTTCCATAGAATATAAAATAACCAATAGATATTATGTATTAAAATAATGAAAATAAAAACAAACAATATTTGTCAGTTTCATCAGTATTTTAAAAAATAATAAGTAGAAGACAAACGAACATAGAGCATATACGCACGCCTATTCTATTAAGAACTGTTACGAATGGGTGTCAAAGAAAAAAAAACATATACTAACATATATATAATTTCAATCCTGAGAATTAATTTTTCGTTCTCACTCATTTTATTTACTTCATCAAGCAATTAACATCGTGATGTAGTAGCTTTCAATATCGACGACAAATATGCTTTGTTGAACTGCTATTTAACTATGCATTTATGAGGGCGACTCAGAGCATCAAGTACAAACAGCTGATTTATTACATTTCATTTGCTAAGGCGCTATGGCTAATTCTTCTTCTTTCACTCAGCACATGACTCTTAATCTAAATCAGTATCTGACCATCATTTCGAATTGAGAAAATAGCTTGCTAAGATCGTGTGAATGTGGCAAGTGTATTTCTAAATCTTTTTTTTTCAAATTCTGCAATATTCGGTAGAAACAAATGCGTAGAAAACGATAATTAACAATTGATAGGTTTTTTATATTAGATGCATTATGCAATTCTAAAACGACTATTGACATCTTAGATGGTAAGTGCATATGTATTTAATGATTTAGCTATATTTTACAAACACAAATCAAACAAAGGAGTCGTATTCGATGAAATATCGTCAAATGTGATATTAATTATTTTAGTGTTAACCGATAAGTCACGAAAGAAAAAAAAAGAAATTGATAGGAGTATTGATTCTAAACTTTTCGAATATGCATTTTTTTATGACTTATTTTTTCAATAAAATGAAACTTATGAAAAAGAGTACGGAGGCGCCCTTCTATATTAGAACTTCGTTCGAGTAGCCATCTAATGTCTGTCCAAAAAAAA